GTACTCTACGAGCTACCTACGAGTTCTTCGAATTTACTACGAGTTATCTACTCGTGGCGATAATTTTGAACATGTTCAAAATTAGCGCCACGAGTTCAGAGCTGCTACGAGTAGGTAAGAGTCCTCTCCGAGCTTTCCGAATCGTCCTACGAGTTTTTTCTTGTAACTCGTATGCTGAAAAAACCCCTAGTGGGAGAGGGCTACGTATACACTAGCTTACTAGATTCTCTGAGCTCCCTGTGAGTTAAATACCAGTGTTACCGGTACGAGTTGGCTATGAGTTACCAACGACTTTTCAGATCTTACTAGGTTTCCTGGGTTGACTACGAGTTGTGTATGAGCCTAAAAATTGCCATTTATAATAAAACACTTAGCTCGAGGTACTCGTATGTAACTTGTTACACTCATGTGAAGCTCGTGGTAAATTAGTAAAGCTTAGCTTAACTCGTCCTTGATTCGGACCAATTCGTATTCCTGATAAACTAGGAAACTCGTATCTAACTCGTGAGGTAGTAAACTGTACCGTATGAGACCACAAGTTTCGCGGGGGCTTGTCTGGACAGAAGCAACCAATGTGTCAAAGGTCCTTAACACTCACTACAGACACATGACAAGTGCGCGCCACGCGTTATTTATTCCAGCAGGATTGACAATGTTTCCATAACTAACCAATAACAAGTTTGATAAAATTTTCCCCCTTTTCTTTCTGAATGGAATTTAGTGCACTGAATTGAACTGATTAGACACATTGTGATTCTACGTTTGTGAATTTCTCCTGAGGCATCGTGGAGTGAAATCCCACTTAATTTGACATCATCACAATAGGCCAATTGTAGTGGTATTTTACTAAAATATGCATACGTTTATATGAATTAAAAAGGGAGTGATATAAAAAATTACAACCATTAACCAATGAATTAACGTTTAGGAGTGGTTATCAGCACGATCTGCAACACTCTGCAGTACCGTACCTGATATCTCACGTTACAAAATATGATACTTTTACCCCACGTTACAAAAAAAAACTTTGTAGAACATTACGTTTGTAATTGCCACGTTTCCACTTGCACTAAAATGACTGGAAACATTTTTAAGTATTAAGCAATCTTTGGACATAAAAGTAAAGTTTTGACAAATGTTCTGCATGAAAAATTTCATGATGATTAATAATAAGTAAATGTTAACTTAAGCATAGGCCTAACAGTTACACAACGCTGTATGTCGCCTGCTAAATTTAGGCCCTCGTTTCAAGTTCTTTCTTTATTTCTTTATTTAAATGGTTATATATTGAAAACGTGAATCAATGTTAATGTTCTGGCTTATACCCAAGCTGGTTCGTGTCACTGAGATGGTTCGTTTGCCTCAATTCGTAATCCTTACTAAGTAGCTGGGGTAGAAGTTGAGGAGGAAAATGGGAGGAGGTGGGTAGTTGTGGATAGGTAAGCTGAATGATAGTACCAGTGCGGAGTTGATATGGGCCGGGTGAAGATTTGGGACCACAAATTTGTCCGTTTATCTAATTTCATTCATCTGTCTTCAAAACAGACTACAGAGTCATGTTAAAGCATCATAGCTGAACGTTCAGATTCAGATAATACTTGTCTATTCATTTTTGCAATTCTTTCCATTGTTGCAGCGTATTCAAATAGAAGAGCCCTCCTATTGTATCTCCAAAATCCGCTGACAATTTATTTCCGATGAAGGATGAAAGAAATATATACAGAGATTTACGTCTTTTTTCTTTTATACCGTAACAAATCACAACATGTTGGCGTTTTGACAGCCCCCGACCTTTAAAAACGAGTACCGTATGCAATAGTTACGGTAGCTATTTTAGAAAATTTGGTTAAGGTTGGCTTAGAATTATGGCCGTTGTATGGTTCCTTAAATTATGCCTACCATTATCGTTGCTACCATCGTCGTAGTACTATTATTAAAACAATTTCAGCACCATCATTACTGAAATATCTAATCCATTATATTCTTTCAAATAATATCCGTTTTCATCAATTCTTGTCCATCATTACATGAGTTTTTTTTTATTGCAACTTCTATCATGCAATGATTGGCATCAAGTAACACCAACTGAACACTGGTTACTCTTGTCAATCTTGCTCAAATTGCAAACCAAATATAAGGAACAAGAGACGCACTACAATAATCGATCACTTGAGTACAACAGTAAAACGTACAGGCATAGTGTTTCTTTCTTCGTTTTGGTTTATTCTGTAAACATCTCCGAAATACAGTTACATTTAAATATTTTTACAACTTTTATACACCAGATTTATACACCGCTTCGGGATCACTTTTTAAAGCAATCGAATTTCTCGAATGCCTATTCCTTTGAATATTTTCAGCAGTTTTGTAGCAGTCACGTGTTAATTCTATATAAAGCAATAATACCATAAATAATAACCTTATATTTTTTATAAGAATGTTGAACGTTTAATACATAATTTAATATCAATATATGCTAGATAGATTAAACTTTTTCTATTTAATGGAATGACTTCGTAATGACTTATAAATAAAATGGTAAAATGTATGTTCTTTTAAACGAAGTTCCTACCAGTAACATTAAGGACAAAAATAAATCAAATAATTGATAGGCCTACTGAGTTACATTCTCATAAATGTATTGCTGTCAATGACATAGGCCTACATCGGAACTAGTCCGAACCACTGAACACGTTTCAATATATATTCTGTATAAAGGGTATTTTGCAAATAAAATCAGTGCAGTTAAACATATAGTCCTATAGGTTATGTTTGGACCTTACAAAAATTTAATAGAAGCGGATTTGGAAGAATTACTTATGACAACGGTCCATCAGTGGCGTATCTAAGAGTCTTGGAATAGGGGACTGATGCGAGATGTAAAGTGGGGGGAAGCTAGCTTGGAAAAAAAATAAGGTGATTTTTAACTACAGGTACTTGAGCGTGAATTTTTTTTATGGGGTGGGGGAGACTGGAGAAAGCACGTATTTTTTTGCGGAGATGCTCCCCATCCCCCGCGCACCCTAGATACGTCACTGCTGTCCATTAGTGGAATATACCTTTTTTTGATAAGATGAAATTGTTCAACTATATAAACAGAAATGTAAAAACTACGGTAATCAAAACATTCTGAATAAAAACATCAACGTCAAGTAATATACAGCTTTCTGTAATACAGGAAAACCATTTAGGTGATTCATTCTTTATCAGGTCAATTAAATATATGGTTTCAGGAAAGACAGTGTTTATTATTTCATTAATGTGCAATAGAATATCAACTACAATCAACATAAATCTCCCCTAGAACTTTTAGGTTTTTTTTTTATTTATTTATAAATATAACTTTTCATAAAACAAATACATACCGTATTTATATTTGTGAAGTATAAACAGGGACAAATTTTCAAAACAAATACGAATTTGTTCTAACAAACATCGTTTAAGATAAATCCTGTGCCAAGAAACATGTTATACGGTAACAAATTTAAGTCATATACAGTACCGTACTGTATATGGTTTTTAACTTAACCTAAACATTCTGCTAGTATACGTCTATCTAAATTTAAAAGGAAAATTTCTGTTACTTATTGTGGTTTTCATAACTTATACTTTCGTGTTTATTTCAAATGGGTAAAAAGTATTTCAGACCACAATAATGTTTTAAGTCTCAAAAGAAAGAACATATTTGCTAGGTTTTCTAAGTACTTTCTTAGTTACGGATAGCTGTTTGCCAAACGGAGCTTTGCATATCATTCGATATAGTCTTTAAGACAGTTCGATTGTACATTAATAAACCCCTAAGGTACAGCCTTCGGGGATTTTAAAGGAGTTCATTGCCCATAATAATAGCATGCTTGACTATGAAAGGCTCCCGGTCGTCCACCCAATGGAGGGTCTATCTCTCATATGCCCCACTAGTTTACTACAATATGAATGCATGTTAATTACAAACATACATTTACATTTTGGTAAAATAATTCCAGCCACTCAACAATCTACGTACTGAACTAGGCTCCTCAATTCATAGACTAGATAAATAGGCCTATGGCCTAATAAGTACAAATAAACCTTCCATATTTGTTGTGACCAATGTTACCATTTTAAAGGGCGAAACTTCGAAACAATTATTCTTTAAATAAAAAAAAAACATGCTTCATTTTAAATTGTTCATCTAACGTTCTTATAAAGTTATTTATAGACATTATGGTAAATTAAACATTGAGTTGTTTAGCAGTTTCATTCCTAAATTGAGGATTTAAATATTCAAATAAATTTATTTTTTCACTATTCTTGTGGAAAATGCTTAATACAACAATAATATGGAAGATATATTACCTAGCTGTTGGATAATCATATGATAAGATATGAATGTTTATTGAATGATTTATCGAATAATCACGAAATTTTATCAATTAGGACACACTAATGATTTTTAAAGATCATTAATTTACATTCCCGTATTTAATATCAACTTATATAACGTTCTCCGGACATTACTACAACGTTTGCCAACTTTTCACGTGAGCCGTAAGATCGAAGCCCACACCTCTAGTAGAGAATTTTAATTAAGCATGGTTTCCTTAAAATCGCTACACTACCGCTACTGTTTTTTTTAACTGCAATCATTGCACTAGGTAGCAGTCCCTGACGCAATCGGGAAGGGTCCTCGATACGACCAACCAATCACCGAAAGGTGTCGGCGATAGCGTGTAGGGATTGTATGGAAACCCAACTTTAGGTACCATAAAAGAACTGGTTACTGAGAATTTACGTCATTAACAACATTTTTAAATATGCACGGTGCTAGTAAACTTGAAGAACAATAATACTGCTTTCATATAAACTATTCAACGAAAATAATACAATATATTGTAATGAATACAGTGAACATGCCTGTTTGGGATTCCAATGTGGCAATAAAGAATACAATATCATAAATTTATACATGTTTTCATAATTTACAATGTTTCTCAAACGAAACAATACTTTACACTAACTCCAGTATGATACAAGTGAGCGAAGTCAAGCAGGTGTTAAGATCGTACTCCTGGATTATTCTAGACGATCGAGACGAGTTTCATACTCGTAATTTGTCTCGGCTTCTGTACGCAATATATCGTCAATTGTTTTCAACAGTTACAAGACGTATGAAACAATCATTTGTTTTACTGTTTCCTTTTTTCTCATTCATCTTCTGGTTTTTAAACGAACACTAGTTTCAAATTGTCCATATATGACAAATTCCTTAATGAGGACAGTAAACATTCGACAACACAGACCTGGTTGCACTGTGGTTAAAATCTTTACAGTTATGCTTCCCGATTTTAACTCTGCATGCGAAGGCAGAAAGAGTGTGCTTTTGGATTTACGTTGTTCACCATTTTAGCACTATTCAAAGGAACATGGGGCGACACCTGCTTCGAATCAGTTTTCTTTCTGTCGATTTTTCCTGCGCTCTGATCGACTAGCGTCATGCTCATTGATAATGTCTAAACGTGACTCGTTGTGTTTTTTATTGTATTTCTTGCACTTACAACTTCGAACAGTTCGAATTCTATACGTTCGCCTCTCCCCATTCTCACAACGAAGGTGGACCCGTTTATGGCGAACAATGTCATTGACGCATCGCCATTCTTTTGTCTTTTCCGTACTCCAGACCTTTACGTATTCTGCGTACCATGGTAAGTTCCGTACGGGTAAGCATTCACCGGCACAAACCACTTCCGTAATCGGTTTCATACTTGTGCAGAACCCGTCGGATATATACCGTTTTGATCTCAATTCGGTACAACCGAGCTGTACATCATCTGCAAGATAAAACGTAAACAATGAAGTCAGACTAATCACTGAAATCATACCACAAGATAAGCGTGACACTGTGATTGGGGTAAATTCAATATTAATAAGTGCGTAGACATGTCATGTAGACATGTGATATTTATTTTGTTTCATAAGTTATGAAGCATTTAGGATATGGAATTTTGAATGGATCTCATTAGAACACCAAATGACAATTGTATTTATATATCAAAGGAAGCGTAAGTTGGCGTAGCTTCAAAACTTCTCTCTCGGTTAAATCACTGCAAACAAACTCAGTAAATTTAGGTACCATTGATGGGTTAAATACATTGATAAGTAAACTGAAAGCACTTCCTGGTTCAAATGAAATTGGCAACTTGTCAACAATTTGTCTTGACCTTGTCACATTAATAATCCTTTACTAAACTATTTCGATGAACCGCGAAAAGATTTAACTAACCGAAATAAATTATTGCTAATGGGCCTATGCCTATTAAATAAAAGAAACAAAAATTATAATAGGCATATTGCATTATGGGATAGGCCTATCATGTTATCACAACTCAAATGCAAAGCATTATGGGGTATCTTATTCATCGAAACTTCGATGGCAAAGAATTATGAAATATGGTACTGTACTTTATCACAACTGAGTTGGCAATAATTTTGTGGGATATCATGTCAATCGCTTGTCAATGAATATCATACTTATTACACTTCATGTGGCTACGTTTTATAATCATTAATGCATGCGTTGAATCACATTTTGATGTTTATTAGAATCTGTCACAAACGGGGGCCGATCCGGAGAAAAATCTGGGTAGGGGTCATGTGCCGTGCGAGTACGAGTATACAAAAATTACAACTTTCATAGCAGTATCACGCAGCGCTTCCAATAACATTTTCTTTTCTTTCCCTCTCCTCTTTTTTGGAAGGGTGGGCAGGGGTAGACAAAACCGTTTAGAGTGTAATATTCTTATAACATTGGAATTTGGCTCATCGAGACGTAGATAAACTAGGTCTAACTTCTTCAACATTTTTCATTTTACTTATTTTATTGCAACTTTATTTCAATGGGTAACCCTTCAGAACCCGTTGGCCAGCTAATATTTAGAGGCCCTCTTTAAAATGACAACCAATATAAAACTATAGGTACTTAATCTACAAATGCAATATTATAAGACCTACTATAATTTTAAACATACAAAGTTCAAAGATCAATTAGGCCTAAATGAAAAATGAAATATAGCCTAGGCCTATTTTTATAGAACTTTTTCTCATCGAGTCCGAAATCGTTGAACAGATCTCATTTATAATTAATAATTAGGACCTAATAAAACTCGTTGCGACAATTTAGTAGCGGGAGTTTTCCTACCCATGAACAACATGCCAACCGATATTTAATTAACGAATTTTTTAATGCAATAAAGAATATCTGGAAGGTTCTCATGGTTTCTGAGCTACTGATTTATGAGAACTGTCTGCATTTAGTTCTGGCATTATTTTCCAATACAGAAGTATAAATAGTGGTTTAGCAATGGAGTCCTCATGACGTAACTATTACAGAGTTTTCTTTCAACCAGGATAGAGGTACAACTTGACATCCCTGGAGCTCGGCGTGTCCTTCGTGTGACGTTACATGAAAGAAAACTAACAAAAAAGTTGATCTTAGTTAAGCAGTCTCTGTTTTTCGTTCAATACCGGGATATGGAATAAAACCTGAATAATAACAGAAGATCAGCACACACTGTCGAACCGCTTACAATGTTTAAAAAATCACGGATGGAAAAAAAACCGGCGTGTATGTACAGAATGGATCAGTTGCGGTTGAATGGCCGCCTTTGTGCATCAAGAGGAATGAAAGACACAGAAATGGCTATGAATATCTCTTTGAATACGCCTTTCTGTTTGGTCACGTGATTGCTAAGTACTTACTTAGCGGCCCGGGGCAAAATACAATGACACAATAGCCGGGTCACAGAATAATGGATCGATTATAGTGGTCCCTTTCTTTCATTCTTTTATTTGGTTTGAATATGATCCTGCGAATAGCATGTAACCTTCGCATACAAGCATACTATAAAGATTGCACGTTCAGCACTAGTAAAAAAAACGTATGTTATTATAGTTTAGACATTTTTTAATATAAACTTATGGTACAATTCTTCAGTAACTCATTTCAAGATCACTATTCAAAATATGTCCTACTTAAATTGACCTAGATTTCGCCGTTTAAAGTTCACATCTCGAGTTAAATTATTTTTCATCTGATGAGGAAATAACCATTCAGCATCACGGGAACCCATATAGTGGGGGTTTCTTTCCGCGTAACACCATTCGTTTCATTGTTGTCTACTGTAGCTACTATCTTAATAATAGTCATCGTAAACAATTACACAAAAACCCATTTTCCCCCTAATCTTCTTGTTAATGAACCTCTTTGGAAGTCAGTGAAAGTGATATTCAGATTGAAAAAAAAATGTATTTCAATGTAAATGCCCATGCATATTTGAATAAGGTCCAAATTATCTTGCTCCATTATACTTAACAATACCGTCCAGCCTACAAGAAAACCAGGCCCTGGATAGATGGAATGATACCACATATAGACAAGAATGCCTATAGAATGACGGTATACCGCTTATAAACCATGTAATTAACACGAACGGATACTAAACTAACGAGGTGTATTATATGTAAAAAATGTTGTGACCGAATCACATTTTGATACTTATATAAGTATTGTATAAGTCGACCTATTATTATATCCAGGTACGCGTTCTGTTACCTTGTCATAAGCCTATAACCATAATATGAAGGTAATAAATCAAGAAATACACGTGTTTAAAACTTCAAGCAATGGACTTCTGATTGCGTATTGTTGATGGAAGAATTGTTCTTTTCTGAATGACAATCGCCACGGTTCAGCCAATGAAGGATTAATTTAAATCTTAAAAATCAGTGAAGAAAATGGAGGAAAAACAAAACGGCCACATGCGCATGGTTCGCAACCTTGCTAAACTGTTCAATCGCAGTATAAGCTTTAGTTTTAGATATTCAGGTTAAAATGTGGTAAATGTAACCCTGGTGGTCATTTTCTCCTTTAAATAATATAAATTTCTTTGTAAAACCCATTGCTGTCATAACAATAGGGAATTCTACTTAGTCAATTACTCAAGTCGCGTGCCTGTGTAAGCTGGGTCATCGCGTCGTCTTAAATCTTCTTAAATATCGTAAAGAAAAAACCTCGAAAATAAATCTCTGATAGAATACTGCAAGCAGATCCACCAGTCATCCAAAACCAATGGTTTCCAAAGCTCATGGCAAAGCTAAACTTAGTTATTCTCTGAGCTCTTGTAAAATACTAAAGATACATTTTTTGAGTCGGATAAATTGAATGTTGTCATAATCTTGTTCATGGAGAAGCGGTAGCTTTTCTCCCTCTGTTTCGAGGCAGCGTCACGGTCTGTGCAGCGCATGCTGGAAACTACCGGAGCCCAGCTTGTTGTGACAGTGATGCTGTGTTCGTTATCGGGGCCAGTAAGCCTACTAATTTTGAAAGATTAGTTTTTAAAATTAATAATTAAATAAATTAAATTTCAAGTTTTGGATAGTTTAAACTTTTGAAGTGCAGTTATGTCGATGCGCCATTATTATTATTATTATTATTATTATTATTATTATTATTATTATTATTATTATTATTATTATTATTATTATTATTATTATTACTATTATTATTATTATTATTATTATTATTATTATAAAAAAATAGGCCTATATTCCATTGGCATAACACCTATGGGCAAATTCCCGGGCCCCCAATCCAAAGAAGCCACGGAGCACCCCTCTCCCTTACACACAGTATTCTAATACAGAGCCTTGACCAAGGAGTTGTTACTCAGCTCCTTTGACATAATGGTCCAGTAAAAAGGCATTCACATTTAGCAAATTATGAAAATGGAATTCCTGGATTTACACTTTCACGAATGTGCCGTATGTGTACTCCCACGACAACTCTTCATACACTACAATGACACTTTGTAATCGAATATGAAGTGTACAATTTTAGTCCGTTAACACTAAAGAGGATGAGCACTTTCTCGCTTTGCATTTCGCTTGTGTCCTTGAGCAAGGCACTTTATCTGCATGGCTTCTCTCCACCCAGGAGCGCCATCCCCATGAAAGAGCACACAAAAAATGTCAGTTTGTGTCATTTTGAGATCAATAAAGTTTATCTTTTTCACAAAAGAGTACTGTACTTATGCCTACACTTTCAACTTTCCCCCCCTCTCTCTCTCTTAAAGCATAGGCCTATGTTTTGTACCCTTTGAAAATGTTGACAGTGGATAACCCATAAATAATCCCATTTTGGCCTAAGTAATATTAGCATTAATATCTTAATCTGAAATAGTATTATTTTAAATCTCACTAGACACTACAATCCTAACGTTTATATTGGCCTAAATATATCCTCTACCCATTTGTTCTTCATTGGTTATCAATGCACAGGCCTATACAATACTGTTATTGTTATTTTTTATTTTTGTTGTAATATGTTTAAGATTTTACAGTAATTACTACATTATTAATTTTGTTGAACTGTTATTTTTAGTAACACTTAAAAAATATGTATATCCTTATAGGCCTCTGTATGGAAACACAGACAATAATGTTATATTTTTAGAAACATTCATGATAAAGTCAGAGGTTACAGTGAATACAGTATGCCATGGAGGTTGACAAAGGGCCAGACCACAGGACCGACCGATAAATCAGGCGTTTTAACCGCGGTCCAATGACTCACTGATTTGGTTAAGCTATAAAATCACAAAATGTGCTACAATATGGAATCTCCTGTACATCCGCCCTGTATGCCTAACCAAGGAGGTTAAAATTGGTTAACTAACGTTTTTGTGAATATTATTCTGTTGAATAATTATTTTTTTTTTTTTTGCGGAAAGACAACTGCCTAAATGTCAAGGGCTTTTAAGCGTACTTCCCCTCTTGTCTTTCCCTTCCTCGTCTTGAACGAAAGAGAATAAAAACAAGAATATCTGCCGAGATCCTGTTTCAATATTAAATGTAAAATTATAATTTATACAGTGCTTTTTATATTGTTACCTTGTGTAAATTCTTGTGAAAGTATCTCTGACACATTGTGAAGCTAAGCTGCTGTCTGTGTCCTTACTGCATTATTATTTTTTTTTTTCGCAGAAAAAAGAACGATAAGGTTGCGAGAATTACGAATCTCTTCACTGTTTCCTTCTTTAAGGGCCTCATAGTTTTTTGTCATTGATAAGTTCAAAATAGTTATTACGTATCCGGAAGATTACTAAACTAATTCTTCCTTGTCTTGTCTGGTCTTATCAGATCCTGCATAGATATTAAATGTTTTCAAATATTCATAATTCACACTATAGACAGGCCTCACAGCGTAGGCTATTGTGTTTTGAATAAGAGATTTCTCTGGATTAAATAGGGTTAGGCTTATTTCAGAATGTCTTACTACGATGATGACAATGGGACGTAATAACCCTGGATGCTACGCTTAGGTAGAAATGAGCAGATACATGGATAAGAAGGCTATATGGCTAAGTACGTCCTATAGATCTCCATATTTCACAAAAAGCATTGTATTTAATAGGGCCTCGCGTTTAAAGTTGGGTCGATCTTTTGCCAATTTTATGATGGGACCTTATCCAAAATTCTTTTTTTCTGGTCTGGTGGCCATCAGGAAAGATTTGGCGAACCAAATTTGTATCGCCGGACCCAGTTTTAAAACAGGGCTCGTACACAGCAGGCACACATTGATATATCATCACACAGGGTAAATCGGAATGAACGTTATAGATAGGCCTATTCATTCTGAAGATGTGGTGACGCGCACGAATAAAACGCGTTGCACTAAAATGAAACGCATACGTCATGACGGCTGCGTTGGAATGTCTAAAGTACTACTGTCACCATAAAGCTAATTGATAACCATTTTACACTCTATCAATTTGGATTGATAGGGCTAGGCAGACCTACTTCCTCGTGCTGGGTTAATAAATGTGGTTTTCGTGAAATGCCTCGCAGTAGTTTTATATTTTTACGAACGGCAAAGGTGGAATGGGAAGTGCGGTCATCCAAGTTTGTACTTAAATGAGATTTATGTTACATTTTAGAAATGTCATATTTACGAGTACTACGACAGAAGGTAAATATAATTTGTACACAAACGAATATTCTGCGTCTGCATTGACCATTGCTAAAAATAGATATAAATGATAATTACTTGTGAAGTGCCAAAAATCTTGAGTAATAAATCGGAATATTTGAACCAAAGTAGAAAATAAAACAATGCTATATATCAAATCATAATAATTAATGAAAACATTAATAATAACAATAGCATAATACTGATATGAAGATAACGACGACGATGATATAAATAATGATGGTGATGATAATGATGATGATACATTACTGTTTCAGCCACATGGTTCTATTAAATGGAGTCGATATTTAGATATTGTACAGACCGACCTCAGTATCTTAATGATATTACTATTTTTTATATTACATTAATAATATTAATATAGTTTAAATGTTTCAGTTGCGGACCCAGAAACTCTAACAGAGGAGGGCCAGGAAGGGACTTTAACAGATGGAAGGCTAGACAACCTCAGCCCCCACCATCATGGTTGGGGATGATGAGTTCAGAAATTTATGATTAAGGCACCTTCCTCAGATGGCTTGAAATCTGTTTTCTCCATTCTTAAAACAATTTTGAAAAAATTTTGGTATGTGTGGGGGGGGGGGGGGGGGGGGGGGGGTGCTCGGCCCGGCTTTTCCACTTCTTGAATCCGCCACTGCTACAATAGATCACGAAAGCCAGGTACTGTTATAGGCTATAATTTTCAATAATTAGGTCTACCAGAGTACCAAAGTTCAATACTGTTCTATTTTTAAAGAATTCGTTGCCACATATTAATTTAAGGAATTGTATGAGTCACAAATTTGTAAGATGAGAGAAACAGAATGTTCGGTCAGACTAAAGTGGTCTTAGAATCTTTCCGCAACAGGTAGAAAAGTGCAGCGACCTCTCGGTGTGTCAATGGTAGTATCTCCACCATACAGTACCGTACAACACTCGTGTGCCTGCATAGTGCAGCATGTTTAATCTTGGTTTAACGGTCGGTCGTCTGCCGACATCACTTATATCGCATGCGTATTCGTTCATGGTCGTCTCTACCTAGGAAAGCTCAGCTAGTCACATATTATTCAGAAGCATTAGCGTTAATCACTATACGTAACCAAATCAGTGCAGCCTTTATATCGTGGATTCCATCTTCTTCAGTCTTTAGACTACTATGTCAATTTTGCCCAACAAAAGCTGCTGTGGTTGGGTTATTATCTATAGGCAGATAGGAATTGAGTATTGGAGTCCATTTGAAAAGGAAAGATCAAAAGAAGTAAAACCCAGTGGACAGTAAACGTATTCTCTCTTTTCGCACCTTTTGTTTACATAGCCTCTGGCTTCAACAGCAATAGAATAAAACCACCTTCATTAGTTAAATCTGGAGAAACCTTCATTACTTTAACCAACAAGTAAAGAAGATACTTCTTTTCGAGCTGGAGATTGTATTACAGATTTTTTTTTTTTTGTTTTTTGTTTTTTGTTATAGAATCAAAAAATGATGCAATAAAATTAGGCCTATAATAAAAACCCACGATTGATTTACAACGGTCTACTTACCTGGATTGTATAGTGAGGGGTATCCATTAGGTAAATCGGGTTTATCTTCAGTGCTCGGCTGTGTATCTGATTCTGTAGTAGGCCTTTGCTTATTTCTTCTCTTTGATTGATCTCCCCTATCCCTCCTATTTTGAGAAGGGACAGTACCGACCTCTACCTCCTCGACAAAAGGTGGAGACGTTTCTAATATTAACGCGTCCGGGTTTACAACTGCACAATCACACACAGTAAGAAATACAAATAATCCTAAAAATAAGACAATCCAAGAACCAGTCGACGTATGCATCGCACAGCTGAAACCATTCAGCTTCATTATAAACAGTATTGAATCCAAAACACCGCGAAATTTCTACATGGACGTTACTGCTGCTGTACCTACAGAATCCACAAGGTCAGTATACATTAGTTGTGTTCAAACATAAGAATAACGCTCTGTGTGTGTATATGAAAGCGCGGGAACAATGCTCCGTACGTACTCCAGAACTACATGGGACTAAGTGTTCAGCATTGAGTGGTTCACTGCCGACTAACTTCAAAAGTGGGCGGAGACTAGATCTTTCAGTCTGCTTTGCTGTTCAGCGTACTAAAGTTTTTGGGGACGGTTCAGCAGTTCACGTGATCTGCGGTTTTAATCGTTTTGTATTATTCAATAGAGTAATTTAGCAGTTTAACATTATTGCGAGCGAATAGTTGCCAGAATGGGTGGAGCCGGTGGTGCCTCCTATCCGTTTACCCTCTTAAATAAAAAAAATATCGACACAACAAATTGAGTTCAAACATCATTGAACCATGGGTTGCGGCATGCCACACGTAGAATACATTACATTCAACTACCTAATGTCGTTGTTATAATTATTATAACTATTATTATTATTATTAATAATAATAATAATAATAATAATAATAATAATAATATTATTATTATTATTATTATTGTTAATATTCTCCCAAACTAGCCTCCGCAGGCGCTTGGAGGCACTTTACACATATACCTATAGCCCCCCCTAACCAAAACTTCTGGATCCGCCCATGGATACGCCGCTGAAGCTAGGCTAAGTAATCTTCAGTATTAATTGACATAACCAAATACACCAATTATTTGCCAACATATTTATACTGATGCAGGCCTATGTCCAAATAGGAATCTTGTGACGAGGTCGAAGCATTTCCCACAGGTGTCTGGGGACTTGCTATTTTTCCATTAATTGTAAGGTAATGATAATGAGCTGGAATACGAGAAGATCAAATGTAGCACCATGGTACCCACACCAGGGGGAGCGCGCGTGTGATACGCACTGATTGAAAACCAGCTCATTAGGCAAATTGTTTTGATTATAACATTGGTCTTTCTGATGAAATTGGCTTTAATTTTCTAAAATGAAGTAACCAGAACAAAAAAAATGAACCAATGATTTATCAAGTCATGGTCGAAATCTCACCGATGCAGATGAAATGCAAATCAGTCGTACGGACTGTGCCTAGTTAGTAATAATAGGCCTATAGTATTACAGTTAATGATTAAATTATTAGAGGTAATAAAGAGTTTGGTAGTTATAAGACGCTTCTTTCCCGGGTCCAAATCTTGTGAGACTCAGTACTAGCAATCAACTCCAGGTCTTAGAATGAGACTCTTGAAGTTGTCAATAGCGCTGCGCATCACATTTTATTTAAGAGCCTCTTAATAGCAGTTGGCATGGGGCTTAGCTAGAAGGGTCACCATTTAAAAGCACATATCAAATCAAATAAAAGTTTATTTTCCTTTTGAACATAAAACAATTATTACAGAAAATTCACTTCAATGTAAACAAATACAAGAAAAAAAGTGATCAATGATAAGCAAAACGTGGGAGAATGTAACAAAAGGAAGGAGGATGAAATACACCGAAATTGGTTTTCTGATTGATCCTCCATAAGCATAACGTATAATTAAATATTAATAATGTAATTGTTGCTTTACTATAATAATAATAATAATAATAATAATAATAATAATAATAATAATAATAATAATAATAACGACAATAAAAATAACAATAATAAAAATGATATTAATATTAAATATAATAATACTGATAATAATAATAATCATAATAATAATAATAATATTAATAATAATAATAATAATGATAATGATAAAAACATTAACAATAACAACAAGAGGCATAACAATTCAACAAAAAATAAATAAATGAAAAAACAAACCGTAACAATAAAAACAATATTACAGAAACTGCAAAAGGCAATGTGATATGTAAATATAATAGAAACAGTAATGAAAAAGACAATGGCAAACAAACGTTCACTAGGCCTATACCATCCGCAGCTGTGTATTGCCGTATTTGCATTTGGGAACGCTGCTACCGAGTATGTGCGCTGACACAGAAAACATCCCAAGACTGTACCAGCAGTTCTTCAACATAACAGTCGTGCAACATAAAACATTCCACTCGGACAGTGTGTGGAACATAATCCACGCATTTGTGCAACCAACAGGTCATGATGTATCAGACACCCGATCTATCACTGCATCAACTTGCCATCTATTAATTAACGGATTGCTCACAGGCCGAATCAAGGAAGGGGGAACTCAGCTGGCCCTGTCCTATATTTTTGAAAACTAGATAAAAACAAATGGAAGAAAAAGAAAATTTCATTCAAATTTAAGTATAAGAATTCCGGCCATCTAGAAATGCATAGACATAACATTTCAACCTCAACCCCAAGCATATTTCGAATTCCTGGATCCGCCATTATTTACATTCTGTTATAAAACTTCAATAGTGTATTACTATAATAAATAGTTCTTTGGGAAAAAAAAATCCCCATCGACATTCGAACCCAAGACGAGCATCCGTAACCCTACAATACCGTTCAATAACGTATTATTATGGGCATATTTATGCCATTACAGTGATAACATTTGTCGTTCGAGTGATGAGAGGGAATCACTGAGCGACAGTCAAGTAAATATTGATAATAAATAATGACAATAATGATTATGGTAATGTTAATGATAATAATAATAAGGATAATCATAATTATAAGATGTTGATAAACTTTAATATTAATAATAATAAGACAGGCCTATAGCCAAACAGTAATATAGATAAAGATCTTTATAGCCATAACGATTATTATAACGATAATAATAATAATAATAATAATAATAATAATAATAATAATAATAGTAATAATAATAATAATAATAATAATAATAATAATAATAATAATAAAGATTGTGATGACGAGGATGATGATAATAACATACTTACAGAACAAATAGGTCTAGATAACAGTAAAGTAAGTTTGATATTAATCTAAGATATGATAGATTCGCAAGCGTTCAGTAGCATTTGTAGCCTCATTAAATACCATGTCTTTCATTATAGTACGCCTGTGTCGAACACTGCAAAATATGAGGAGAGTGTTAATTGTTCATAATTGGAAATTAGCGATTCTCGGAAGTTACAATTTGCCATTTACTGCTACCTCATTCACATAACATCCTCCTGCAGTAACACCAACCGCTGTGACAACGATCCCTCCTGACATAATGTATCCAGAAAACTATATTAAAAAAAAAAAGACATTGAATCACAAATCTCCAGTGGTCAACAAAGATCTGTATATACAGAGAGGTATACAGACGACCAACAATTCGGTTACACAGTTGGTTAACTTACAAATGAATTGGAAACAAGTCCGTAATAATAGACCTGGAAAAGCTGGTATGTATTTAGATCTAAGCCAAACTTTCAAATTTTGTTAATATCTTTTAATCGTTCTCCAAAATACTTTTATTTTGCCTTTGGCCTTTTCTAAGTTGATTAAGAAGAAAACAGGTTTTTCTTGAAAGGCTTTCTTCGTGTTGGTACATTCGTCTAGGCCAGGGTGCACAGAAATTAATCAATTACTGGACTCACTCTATATACTTAGCACAAAAACTAATGGCAAATATCTCAATCAAAAGTTTTGAAAACAGAATTTAATGCTTTTAAAAGGCTTTTTTTTTTCCTTTTTCTTTTTTCTTGTAAATATTTGGCTGTGGTATAAAATTTGAACATAAAAAAGCAGCAATTGTTTTACTATTACCTAAAAATTATAATTTCCCGTAATCTTTTACTAAGTACCCTTGAATATATAAATCGATGTATATCTCATCTGCTCCATCATCTATGTCATCGGGCTCAAAGACACACCGTTCAAAAACCCTATACACAAATCACAAATACACTTTCAACACCAACAAACACAGAAACAGCACCGTACTCTCTAAATACCGGTACGTATGGAACTTAAAAGATAGAAACACACACTACAATATCAATATCACCTACTGCACAAAAACAAAACGTTGCAAACTATGTACAACCGAAAAAATTCACATAATATATTCAGACAAACAGTCAATACTAAACAAAAGCCCAGAGCTATTGAAACTTGAAACAATTAACTCATTTGCATATCCACCTGTCATAGCCTTCATATACTGTACTCATACATTCCATGTATTTCTCACTCCTGACGATTACAGTAGCATGATACAGTCTGTAGACTGACAATATCCAGTTCTACAAGTTCTACATTTTCAATATATTATTATACATATATATATATATATGTATATATTCAAATCAAGTTGCTGCTTAGCACTGGAAACACAAATAATGTATATATATATACATATATATATATATATATATATGCAATCAGATTTTATTTTTTGATGTGTACATCCGAATATTTAACAGTCAGTGAACAACTAAAATTTCCGCTAAGATTGTAATGTCGTCATGTCGTATTTAAATTCATCCCATCCCATACCGTAATGCATCAGTTTGCCTAATGAGTCATAAGGTCTGAATGTTTCCTGTTGCTAGGCTATTGGACTCACATGATGTGACAAGTTTGATTTTCGTCTACGGTTGTACCAAGTTGCGTGGTAGAGTTCGAAGCCCTCTTTTTCCTTCCTTCCACCGGAGAAATGCTCATACTTTAAACAAGATGTGTTTCTTATTTCCGTATAGAAGGAATGGGTTACGAACAATAATGCACTTTAAATTATTTTTCCCAATTATTAGACAAATACAGTCCTCCCCTCACCATTACATTTTATGTGTGACAAATGAATGTGATATGCTCATATTTGGGCGTAATATGGCATCATCTATAATAGGCATCACATAAACTTGTCACCTAAAATTTGAAAGTGTAGAAAAAGCATTCCCATTTATCCTCACACAGTACTGATTGATATTTAAACTCCATTTCCGATTGGAGTATCAAATAATGGATTTGATATTTATCCAGTGAGAATGTTGGATAGCCTATAAATATTTGTATATTGCTAATCCAAAATCGCTAAACGGATGTTATATTTTTACATAGGGATGTGTTTTTCATAATCAGGTGTTTTTATGCAGGTTTTTTGGTCCCAAGCGTTCAATCAGCAGTAGACTGAACGGTATTGATATCAAATGTATTTCCTTCAATTAAGAATTCAACTTCTTTGGTTATTGGGAGGATTCTAAACTCATTTGGTAGATTATTATCGGATAATAATCTAATAATACACTATTTTGAGTGTAAAGGCCTTGGTGCCTAGGACAAACACATACTATTATGTAGACAAACCAAGATCAACTCTAGACAGAAAAAATACTATTTAAAAAACAAAATCACTTGGTCTGAAGTTATAGTATATGAATTTTGTGTTCATTGTGTTAATATAGCCTATTTTAAAAACTATAACGCTCATTTTGTGATTTATCCCCTATCGAAATTGCCTTATGAGAATGGAATTGCGAAGAAATAAGGGCTCGAATGGATGACAGCCACTCGAATTCGCTTGCTTAAAATAGTTCTTGTGACCGACTTGTTTGGCAACACTCGCTCCAGGAAACCTCACGTCAGTTAGCTCATAGCTAAATAAACTCTGGTAATAATTAATTACCATGACATCCGCCCGTTGACTTTGAGAAACAAAAACATCCTTTCAAATAACCACGAAATTTTTTTTGCATGTTTACCCACACACGGTTCTGGTAATCGTAACACGGTACATTATTATCAGAGCGTGAATGCCTGTAAAATATCAGGAATAGGGTTATATCACTCACTGTACATAATAACATGCCAATTTTGGTTTTCGAAAAGAAGTTGAAAATCATAAGATCGCAATGTCACCATGATTTCATACAGTGCTGCGCTTAATCAGATTTATAATTAATTACAATGGTAATAAAATAAAGGCCACTGTATTTTATTGCTTTTTTTGGTATCGAATTTAACATTTGAGAAAAAAATACATAGTTTCACGTGCTGTGTTTGAATGCTTGTCAGCAAACCATGTTTATCAAGTTTCATTTTATTTATCGACATTTCAGCATCATGAACCAGCAAGTCTTTCCGAGTGGTAATATTACATTTTATGGAATATTTTATAGTCTTTATATCTATAAAGTACTGCATGCATGTCACAACAAATAAGGGATCCATTGTGAATTGATATTACTGTATGAAATTACAGTACCTTAATCCAAAAAGTTTGATTGAAGTTAGAGGGCGCAGTTTACACCATAAACAAGTGCCATAGGCACTATAACAATATGAGGATGATTGATTTGTCTTCGTATAGAATAATTTAAACATGGAGATATTAAAATATATATCTCAATGATTATAACGTTTATGAGTGAACTGTATTGTCAATGCTATGTACGTATTATAGCCTATGTGTAAGGCCCATGCTACTTTCACAACCTACTGTATTCCGTCTAGTTGGATTAATCGTCGTACTGATTCAAATTCCAAACGACCAAATTACCAAGTTATAGGCCTATAGGTCTAATAGGTCTAGTCATTTTAAGGATAATAAACTTTATAATGACGTCTAGAATGTGGTGTGCATTATGTTGTTCGTCATCAATATTTACATCCTTCTTAAGAATGTCAATGGCTTCTTTATTTATATTTTGATGTCTAATTATTGTTTTAATGTCTAATGAGATAGCCATATTCCTTCCATTTTTCCGATTTAATTTTTAATTTCTTTCTTCTTTTAATAACTTAAAATATTCCTAGCAAAGTATCTGTTTATAGAGGACCCACCCCTCCAATGAGGTCCAAATGCAAGCGGGGCGGATCGATAATTTTCCAAAGGGAAGGGGAGGGCAGGGCAGGGTGGCACACTAAATTGGATTTTCACCTAGAATGCGACTTTTCTGGGATTCCGTGCGCAATTTATTTCTTTAAAAAATTACACAATGTAATAGTTATTGTTTAGTTGCTTGGAAATGTTTATGTTAATTTTCAAAGTCTTGGCTTACATATAGGTTTGATTGTCGTAGAGACATTACTCATGAAAGAGGGTAGCCGTGGACAGATGAAAGCAATAAATAGAAAAATCAAACACTAGAGTTTTCATATTGGGCCCGAGATTTGAACTCCGGTGACTCTGGTCTGTAACTAAATTCCCATAAAATGGTCAGGACCTGTCTAGCTATTAATCACAGAGAACGTGACAAAGGCGGCCATTTTTTCTTCTATCGCACGAAAAAGTTTACAAACAGATGGGTAGAAATTATAACGCCTACATGTGCACTTATCGGCTTTTAGGGGGTCAACTTCGTTAACATTCATCAATTCAACTTTAATGACATACGCCTACCATCTGTCTTAAAGCATTGGGTCCGAAATATCTCAGTTTCAATTCATAATAACAGAAATGTGTAAAGTGCCAATCTAAATTTAACGAATTTTAAATTTTTTAAAAGAAAATATAGCGAATTGTGAGCAGAAAGTGGCACAGAATTTTATTGAAACTAGTTATGAATATATTAATCCAATATCAATTATTTATAATATTGTTTCATTTTGTTTTAATGTGTACATTTTTTTGCCTGAATACGGTCTTATTATTTATTAGTTTTTTTTAAATTTAATTTTTGTTTTCAATTATTAGGTTGCTTCTATACCATCTACTTATTTTTTTCTTTTGTGATAAGCGTATGTTTATACTACATCGGGCTCACTGACACACCGTTCAAAACCCGATACACAAACCACAAATACACTTTTAATACCCCCAAACACAGAAACAGCACCGT